TCGATTTTGAAAATATCGCTTTATGACAAAATGGCGGACGTTTGAACATAATATAGCGATTTTTCGACCAAAAATTAGTTATTATTTTGCCTATAAAACAAAAACTAAAAAAAAAAAATCCTATGACAAGTATTAGATATTGATGTATAGAATAACCACAAAAAAATTCAAGGCAATCGGTTTCATTGGTTTTCGAGAAATTTTGGGTACCGATTTAAAAAACGTGGTTTCGAGAAGAACGCGTTTGAAAATTTGGGAATGAATAAATCATGAAATTTGTCAACTTACATGGAATCATCGATACCAGGCCCATGTGTAAGAGTCTTCTACGGTCGACGGAATGTTCATGTCTTCTAAATTTTGTTGTCGGCGCCGTATTCGACCTTCTTTCGTCTGTTCTTGCGCTTGCAGCTCGGCTTTCGCTATGCGAGTTTCGTCTTCTTGCGCAGCGTACAAATGCGCGCCCGATCCGACCGATATTCCTAACACGTTCATGACTTCTAACAATGACGTGACACCATTGTTGAACGTGCATGTTGCAAAAAATGCAGCAATGTTAACGATTTTGGCCTCGCTGTGCATCATTTTTGGAGCTATCTGCCAAATAAGTTGGTTGAAGCTCTCATTGCTGTTTTGTGTGTATCCGCCAACACAGCGTTCCAACAATTTGTCATTGCTGAGGTCTTCGTAAATTGGTTTGATAGCATCTAACACTGTTTTCGGCAATGCTAAATAATCGTGATGGAAATTCCTCAGTTCTCCTTTAGCTTTCGCTTGTTGCCACTTGCACCACGATTCGGGGCCTTCGGGACAAAAATGATGTTCAGGCTTGCTGTCTGTTGAGCCGTAATGGTAGAATGTTGCCCATATCGTTTTTTTCATGTCATCCTTGGAGTTACTGTTTCTCCGAATGGCTAAGCCATAGTAAATGCTCAGTTTGTCTACAAACTTTGCCGTCAATCTGTTTTTACCGCCGATTCCTGGATTTTTTTTCTTGCATTCGCGAAGACGGGTTCCCATTCGCTTTTGAACGTGTCCCACGCATTCTTTTTTTATAATCGCAATCTCATCACCATACGGTTTCGCATTCACTAATCCCGTGTACGTCTTAGAGTCGCTATCCCCGACGTAATTAATGTACATAACTCCATGCTTTTCGACAGATCTTGAAAATAATTCCTTCATGGCGTCTACTTCCATTTTGCCTGCCGATACGACATGATTCGCCTGGCAATTTTCTTCGTGATTAGATTTCCATTCCTGATATTGCTCGGTATTGGCGTGTTTATTCCAATAGTTACATTCAGCACAATAAGCAGACTTTACAATAAAATCAACGACTTTTCCTGTCGACTGACCAATAAGAACCGCAACTCCATATAATGAGGTAAAACCACGTTTTCGCCACGTACCATCTCCTGAAACGGTCAGTTTTTTGATATCATCACTCGAATTTTGTTTTGTTATTTCCTGTTGTTCTTCTTTTACAGCTTGTTTTAACACCAATTGAACAATACTTGAAGCAGCAGAATGAATGTTGTCAATTATCATATCATACGTCGTTTGTTGAACCGGAGGCGGTAAATCCATGAGGCCACAAAATTTCATAGCTCCACGCAAACCAATCCCCAATAAACGCATAACAAAAAAGAATCGTGTATTTATTTCGTAAGCTGTCTTGATGTACGGGCACGAAGGAATGAAAGTCGGTTTGCACGATGAACACGAAACTACAATTTTAAAACCGAGCCCTCGAGTGCTTTCCATTGAGAATCGAACATCACTACCACACTTTTTGCATTTTACACATTCCGATATTGGCAGAAAACACTGTCAGAAAATTCAAAATTCGATACCCGATGTTTGGATCTTCTGGTGCGGATGTCTCACGATCAGTCTTCAATTTTTTGGCACTGGAACTAATATTCTCGTCGGAAAGTTCTACTTTTTCGGCAGTATATCGATTTTTGGGCGGTATTTTCTTCTTGCTTCGATCTTTGCGAAAAGATCCGGATCGATGAGCTTCCCGAGAACCTTTATATCTGTTATCCATTTTCCTCAGAATATTTATTCACAGACGAAAACTCACTGTAACGCACGAACGGCAAGCTACTGACGAAATGCGTCCAATTTCTGGCAAAGAATAACGGTCGTGTGATATTTCCGTTATACCTGGACCCGAGCACGCCCGAAAACACAACAGAATCATAAAACAGGTCTAGCCACGCTCTCTTCGAAGGGTCGCTTGCCGCTACCTGCCTCTCGACTCGGCCGCAAAACAGGCGGCACGGTGCGCTCTCGGAGACGGTTCACTCTCTCGGCTGTAACTTCGTTATTTATCGAGATATTGACTTGCAATTTTCACCAGATATTCTTGAGACCTCAAGCTTCAAAAAAAAAAAAAAATGCAAAAAAAAATCGATTTTTTTCGACCATGCTAGGTGTATATCTCCCCAATCTGACTTGGTCAGAGCCTAGCTGTTGATCTTTATGGTCTGCTCGGGACGAGGGGTTGGATCCTATTTCCGATACTGTCTAGATTGTTAGAATCGGCAATCGCCGATACCAACTTTTCTCTTGTTAATAAATCAAGAGGCGCTCGTCATGTCTATACTAGCTTCGTTGTATCGCACGAGGTACAGCACCTTTTGTGTCCACGATGAAATGATAGTTAGGGCGTATGGCTGAGTCAATTTTAAACGTGATTTTGCTTAAATCAGAAGTGATGAACTCGATACGATCGATTACGTCTTCTATCGTGTGGGGCTTAACCCTTGTTCACAGCAGTCACCGTGTGTTTCGCAGTACTCGTCGACGTGTGGTGTTGATTCCACCGACCGAAATGGAAATTTCCTATCGTGGGTTTTGTAAACCCGGAAAACGACAGTGTCGCGCGTAAGATTTTGAAAAAATTATAGTCCGCGCGCGATTGTAGTATAGTATTCGCGAGTGTTTTACGCGAATGACCAGTGCGAGAGGATGTCAACCCAAATCTGAGAGGAGGAGGAGGACCGGGAGAGGCATCGGGCACCTGTGGAGCAACCTTGCGGTAAATATTATTTTTTACTTATGTAAAATCGATATCTTTGCTCAATTTATTCTTAAATCGTTTTATACCTTACAATAATTTAAAAATACTATTTAATTTTAAAAAAAGGATTGCTTTAAAATTTGAAATTTTATAATAATGTTCTTAAGGTCCTTTTATAAAATTTATAATTATGTTTTAATTTGGATTATATATTTTTTTGTTACAAAATCATCGTAGCGACGTTGCAGATGTAACTCCGCTGTTGCGCATCGGATCGATGAGTGATAAATCAACGTTCTTATTGAGGTAATGGATGTAATTTTATTAATATATTATGTATACCTAGATATATGTATATATAAATTCAATAATAGTAATATACAAATTTAATGGTTGAGAACATACATCTATACATCCATTACCTTAAAATGGATAAGTTTTAAAAGTTTAGGATAAACTTAATCTTGGATCCCTCTTTATTGCTGAATATAATTGTGCGTATATGGTAAATTTATGTGCATACGAAGATACGTTCGAATGCATATATATACACTTTAAATGTATGAAAGCGAAAGTTTTCAAGAAATTGAGAATATCATGAGAATATAATATAGAATAAGATTATTAATTCACTGATTATATTGATTATTTAATATTTTTTTATTAATATTAAAACCGAGCACATAAAGATTGATGAATTTTATGTTTATTTGTTAAAAATATAAAAATTTATAATTTTTTAAAAATATGAACATATAACGGAACGTATAAGTTGAGAGATTAAGTAAAACCATAGAAGATTAAAGTATATTGATTTATATCATATACAGTTGTTATTTAAATTGACTCATGGTATTCTTACATGATTAAATAGAAAAAATTAAAGAAAATCTTAGAATAGAAAGAAAATATAATAATAGAAGGTAGTATATAATAGAAAATGCACATCGATAAAATATAGTTAAAAACGAGGGAGGTGGATACACATTGAATTAATAAGATTAAGAAATAGAGGGAATAAAATACACTTTTCAACAAAATTAAAGGATCACTTGTTCCACCCTGAAAAAATAGGCAAACTTTGAGATAGAATAACTTCGTAAAAAATCATCGTATCGAGATGTTTAAAAAAGCATTTTAAAGCTTGAAATCTCTACTTTTCAAACCTGTACTCCAAAAAACGGTCTTACTGATATTTCGTGAAGTTGCACAATCATAAATAAAAGTGTGTAACAAAGTCGGTCTACTTAAAAATAACAAAAATTTGTTGCTCTCAAAATATCCTAGTTTTGAATCCATTACTTACGAAATAAATACAAGTAACAATGAAAAACTTTGATTCTGCTCACTTTGGTCCGCTAACTTATGAAATGTCATGGCAGGAGGGAGATGGACTGGTCACGCATTTTTTTCATTTTTTGAACGTTTTACTCCGATTCATGGCAAATATAAATGATAATGTAGAAGGCTAAGGAATTTTACATCAATACTTCAAAATATAAACTGTTTTATTTGTTTTTTAAATAGAATCTTTTTTCACAAAAATCACAAGTCCCTTCTTAAAACATAGTATACATGTGTTTTTATAACTAATTTTGTTTATTATTGAGAAAAACCACGATTTTTTTAGAGTTTTTGAACATTTACCATAATTTTTTTTTAATACTTTTTTAACAATTTACGAAGATACTTAGTAGTAAATACATAACCCCGATTAATAGGTGTATATATTTTATAATCTACAATATTTACTTTCATTACACAAGTTTCTTTGTGTATATAAATATTTTATAATCTACGATATATTCATCTGTTAACAGCTACATTTTAACTTTTAGCCTAACTTTAATTTGATTAACACGCTCATGTAACTAACTTTACTGTTTTTATATTAACGGTATTAAAGCATGCTGCGAATTATTCTTCCGCAACATATAATCTATGTACAAATACTTAAAATTTTTCTCGCTCTTTTGAATAAATTTTAAATTATTAATTCCTTTATTTTGATATAAAAATTAGTGACTTTGCTTAAAACTTATGCAAATCCAGGATCAAAGCCGACGTCGTCAGAGCTTGCGGGCGGTTAATTTTGCTGTTTTGTGCACGTTGCCTATTCTGTCGGACATCTTTTTACCACCGCGTACGTAATCTTCGTATCGTACCTCGTTAAGCGTCTCAAAGTTCAGCTTCTCCATGATTCGTTGGCTGTACGTTGAGGCGGCGACGGCAAAAGCCACCTCCGGTCGTACGTGCTCATTGACGATTTTGTCGGCTACACAGATCTGCTTCAGCTTCCTGGTGCGCAAACCCCGCGCGACCTCGAGACTTTTCTCTGTGATCTGCCAGCCGATACCGCGCGCCTGACATTTCGGATCCGTGCCTATGTAGAAGATTTCCGTGGCACCCCGCGCGTTGTACTTCTCGAAGATGTCTACTTGCGATTCTATCTGATAATGAAATTCAACATGATTCAGCACTTTTAGTAAGCGATAAGCTTAATAGAATCTGCTACATGCATTTCTTAGATTAGGAGATTACATACAGAAAATATATATACTGTGTTCAAATATTGATTATTTTTGTTCTAAGTATTTCAAAAATTTTCATATATTCGCAAATCTATCATAAATTCATCACAAGCAATACACAAATTTAGTCTATATATATTTTGAATTCTAATAAGTTCAACATATTTTAAGATTATTAAATCAATATTACTAAATTAGAACAAATTCCATTATGCTAAATTTAACTGATAAAGATAAAAAGCTAAGCATTAGAAATTATATGTACAAAAACGGGGCATATAGATGGCTTTCTGGAGATTAATTTAATAATACGTGCAGAAATGATCGCGATATGAAGTTTATCGTTATTTGCGAAAGAATTATAAGATCTCAAAGGAAACTAGAGCACTCGTATTGACATTGTTGATTGCAGCGTGTTTAAAATATGTTATAAATCACGGACTTACGCCATCGATGAACTCAATCAGATCCCGACACGAGCGATGCTTGATGTTACTTTCTACAAAAACTGCAAAGGCATCCTCTTCTGGCTGGGGAGATGTCTGTTAAATGTAGATGGATATTTCAAAAATCAGCGAAATAAAAACAAAATTAATTTTCCTTCACTTTGACAAATTATCTTTATTTCAATACTCGCTGTACTCGAACATGATGGAACACGCGATATCTTCTTTATCTAATTATCTTTAAAAACACTTTTCCCTGACGATATTGCGATCGTTTATGATAACTGAGAGAAGACGTCAATTTACTATCAAATTAATTCAGCGCAGTTGCTAAATCGCTAAAGTCGTACGAGTCGCGACGAATTAATTATTTATCAGACGGCGGTCGACGATAAAATCTATACGACGTGTCAGAAATAAAATCATACTTATATCGATTATGTATGGCTGTATTTAGGACGGCGCTTTTTATACTTGCATGTAACTTGTTGAACGCCACGGCGACAACGCGATCCGATCGATCAACCGCTATCACCGTGCATCCGTCTTTAATGACCTCCCTGAAGACCAATTGCATCTCTTCGGCAGCTCCGGGATCCTCGTACATACCCATGCCGATCGCGATGCACTCGTGCCGCATGGAATGCTGCTGTACGATCAGAGCATCCTCGATTCTATCCTTACTAAGCAGCCTGAATTCGATGGCGCCTGAGCGATCGGTGCCGAGACAGACGGACATGATGCGTCGCAGAGATTCGCCTGAAAGAAACACTACTGCATCACTATAACTAATCGATACACGCGCAAGTTTATCACGCCTGTCTTGCGCATCCCGTTCTATATTTTTTTTTTAATTAAGTGCCGTATCCAGTTCAATGGGAAAGCAAGAGAGGGAGATCCTTGTTGTTTCCTAATGCTCCGTATCTTGATTCTGATTGAGTTGGAACAAAAGCTCTACTTCATTTGTGTCATGTATACACGTTTTAACAAATATTGACAATTATATCATTTGGAATTGATAGAGCAAAATTTTAGCTTTAAGAATCTGCTTTTTTTTTTGTTAATTGCAATACGATGATTTTTAACAGAGTTTTGCAAGCAATAAGAACCAAAAGTCCTTTTATTTAATTCACGATAACATAATAAAAAAAATTTAGATTAACATTCTTAAAAAATGATTTTATAAAGAAAACTTCAAGTTTTACAAATTAAAAGAGATTTAACAAATTATTCGTAGGCTCTCAATGATTAAAAAATTAATAAATTGAAAGATCAGAGGCAACTGAGAGCACAACACGATTTACTTAGCGTATGTATATACCTACATTTTTCTCATTTTTAAAAAAGCCTACAAAGTGAGAAGAAAATTTCCCATTTTATCCAACTCGTTTTTTCTTCATGTAAAAATTACCAAACTTTTTATGCAAAAATTAGAAACTTATAAGACGCAATACTTAATAGTTCGAAAGTAAAGATTGTAAGCTTTAAAACCCTTTTTATTTAAATTTTGTTTAAAGTTATCGCTGTGCTGCTTAAGTTTTAAAATTCATAGTTATGAACTTTTGTTTCGATTCATAATGAAGCGTAAATTTTAAAATTAATGCATTATATAGGCTGTCACAATAAACTTACGATCGACTTGTGACTACTGCCTAACTACGATTAAGAAAGAGGCAAATTCTGAAATCTTAAATATTTTATCAAGCGAAAAACTTTATAGTATAAATTATTGCACAAGCTTGAATAAAACGAAGTCTTATATTCGAAATATTTTAAATGGTAATTGCAAGTGATAGAAATTAGAAGTTACAAGAACAATATTCAAAAAAATAGTTATAGAAAAATATCTGCGAATTTTCGGTATTCCACTGTTCTATCACACTTTCTGTAAACTATTCCAACTCGCGATTTGATTACAAGCACTCGCGTTTTTTGTATCTGATATAAATTTTTTATATTAATGCTAGGACTACGGAGAAAAAGGTCATCGTAGGTTGAAACGCGGAGAAATGGTAAACGGGGTAAAACTTTGAAGCAAGAAGGAAAGATCTTACCGGGCCGAGATTCGCGAATGATGTCTACTGTTTGACGGGACATCGGGGTATCGCCAGAAGATAAAACTGCATCGCGAGTCGCTCCCCATCGTACATACACATCCCGTTTGATTACAGACACTATCGTACCCACGCAGTCATTATAATAATCGGCTATCTCACGTAAGCCGGGCTATCCAAGCCGCTGGAAAGCATCATGTTGACTTCCTCATTATCATTATCTTACTTACTATCACTTTACTACAGTGGATACGTAGGAAAATTTCGCGTGTTATCGCCGATAAATCTCTTTCCGCGAAAATGAAAGTGAGATACGTGGTATGATTATACGATGTTTAATTTATTAAACTTCTGTGAAATAGATTTGATTTTTAGTCTCTTAATAACTGCATATAATATACTGTTTAGACAAATAGCTATACAATCTTACAGCATTTGTGCAATTTATTTTCATGAGTGCGTAAAGTTTGCTTTAGATCTATAATTTAGATATCGAGGTAGAATTTTATCTAGAATTTTATACACCATATATTTTGATCTAAGTACGATATATTTTAATGCTGGAAATTCTGAACATTTATTATTGTTCTATTTTTAGATTTATTGTTATTTTAATAATAATTATCTTTTTTATATAGAACAAAATCTGAAATTTATTGACTTAGCAATAATTATGTCTTTGTATTGATAAAATATTTATAGCTTTTTATTACTTTCTTTATTTTTATAGTAATTTATTTGCACGATTCTTCTTTAGTGAGTAATAACGTCAGTATTTCTAATTACTTTGCCCATGCCAGGACTGTTTATTCGCGACTTCCTTCACTTTCGCCGCTCGCAAGCCTAATACGTTGAAATCCTGCGAGTCCTTTTCATTCCTGACAAGATTAAGACTCCGGGAAGATTCTTTCAACGACCTTCCTTTAAGTGAGACGATATATGATACATGTTTCATATCCGGTGTTTCGGAAATGTCATTTATTCAATGAAATGACATAGTATTCATATAATCATCTTACAGATACAAAATTTTATTTTATTAATATACTTACCTACACATCTGTGTGTGTGACATACAATCATATTCTGACTTTTATAATTCTTTTCTATCGCATAAAATAGGATGCAAAACTTTAGAGTGGCGTAAATTATTTAAATGGATTTTAAATGGAAGTTTTAATAAAACAATATACGATATAAATATACATTAATTTATTAAATACACAAACAATTAATTGGTTTAATAAATTTAATTGTTTAATTGCTATTCGGTCAGAGAAATAGAAGAAACGGAAGCGCTGTAGAATTATTCATTGCTGAGAAAATTATTCTAACATATTTATATTCAAATATTTTGTTAAATATCTGATTATATAAAATTGACGTTATATATAACATGATAATACATGTAAATAACAAGTTTTATATAATATATTATATAATGTAGGATACAATCAATTTTTCGTCATTATTGTCGCACGTGAATAAAATCTACAAATCCAATATATTCTTTCCCGTATCTGATTACGTTCCTCTATATTTCATGTCTATCAAGCATTATCCTAATTCTATTCATGTATTACTATTCTAAGAACGCGTCAATTTTTTTATCTTTCCACTGTGATACAATTATATGTAACATCGACATATTTCGATCGCATATAATATTATTTTTGTGTCATTTAATATCATATGTGTGTGTGTGTGTATAAATATTATATATATAATGTATATAATTCCATTTTGTGAAACTTATGTTTTTTTTTGTTAAATTAAACGCTATTATTGCTTATGAAATAGAACATAATATGAATAAATCAATTATCAGACAAAATTACTTTTCTCTTAAAAGCCTCTTATAAAAATATTTTCAAACCTTTCGATCACTCCAATTCACATAATATTATATTTATTTTTTCTTCGTCTTTTATTTTAAAATAATATCGTAAAATTACGGGTCAATAAGAAAATATTGAAAATACATCCACAAATAGAATGTAGACTTTACGAACTTGGAATAATCCTGTCTATATTCTGACTATATCTTGACTATATTAAAATGCAAAGTTCAAAATAGAATTATTTTATTTAATTATTACACAAATCATCAAATTGATTTTACGCGAATTAATGAATCGTAACAACTTCGTACAGATACGATTGATGTTCATAACTCGAACTATATAACCATTTATTTTTCTTTTTAAGGTTACCTGCAATTTGTTTCAGAAGAAAAGTATTTTTAAATTAAACTTTTCTAATATCTTTTTCTATCAAAACTTCTATCAATCTATTTCTTTAAAAATTGCGATTATTAATCATACGAGGGTAAGTCAATAAGTTTTTAAAAAAAAACATAGTCTTGATGGAAGAGCACTTTCTTCTTCACCAAAAGACTTTTTTTCTTTAAAATGTTGAAACGGTCCAATAAGGCTGCGTGGTAATCGCCATTGATCGTTTGCTTCGACGGAAGATATAATCAATATGAATTATACTGCATGTATCTCAAAAAAATGTGAGCATCACCTTTCCGGCGAACTTCACGGTATTTGCCTTCTTCAGAGCTGGTTCACCCGGTGAAGTCCATTATTTTGACTGTTGCTTCGTCTCGGGTGTGAAGTAATGGATCCATAGTTCGTCCACGGTAATGAATCGATGCAGAAATTCATTTGGATTACATGGAAACATCTCAAAACATTGTTTTGAAATCGTCACACGGTCGCGCTTATGGTTCACAGTGAGCGTTACCCATCTTGCCGATAGCTTTTTCATACCCAATTGTTCGTGTAAAATTGAAATCACTGTGATGTGCCTGTGGCCTCAACAAACTCGCACATTTTCACTCGTTGATAAGTCTAAACAATATCGTGGACTTCATCGATGATTTCTGGCATAGCAGCCTCAATTGGACGTCCCACACGAGATGCATCTCATGTAGATGTACGACCACATTTAAGTTAAATTTATTCACCCAATTGTATACAATCGCAAACGCTGGTGCAGTGCTATGAACATTATCCAACTCGGCTTTGATTTAAACCTTTCATATGTAGATGTTTGATCACTCCACAAAACTCGTTTTTTTCCATTTTGCAAAAAATACAAAGGTTGTTCGCTTTAATCGTCTACAGAAATGAAACCTCTCGATGAATTCCGTTCAAAATTTGACAGTAATCAGCTGAAAGATGCTACTTGTCAAAAAGTAATGTGACATGACACTGCGAGTGACCTCTCACAGATTTTTTAAGAACTTATTGACTTGCCCTCGTACTTTTTTCTCAAAAAATTAAATTTCTTATGGTCTTCATTTATTCGGTCAAGCTGTTTTTCGTGAGTTATAATGATGCTGTTAAACAAGATTGAAGCTGTTCATATAAATTTATGCTTATTATATTGTAATATCTATTATTATTTCTAATTTATTTGGATGAATCAATAAATGATCTTAATACGGTATCGATTTATGGAACAAAATTAAATTATTGAGACTTCTATTGTATATTACTCCTAAATCTAATTAAATTTTGGAATTATTAATTTTCTGACCATAAAACTACTGACGCAATTATTGTCTGCATTAGAGAGAGAGTCTCTTAGCTACCAAAACACATTGTCGATGTACCTGGCTATTTAATAGTTCACTGTATTTCTTTCCGTTGTACTCAAACTCATCGAATGAAGCTACCAACAGTTGGTCAAAATGCAATTTCATAGCAATTCGATAGGAATAATCAGACGACATGATAGCGGAAGCCAAGGCCGGCACTACGTTAGCATTTGTCACTTCATTGCTGCCTTGTATCATGATGGGTATCCTCACGTTTTTGCCACGTCTCAACTCGTTACCGAGCTCTAATGATGAGGCGACCAACATTTCGCCTATTCTTCGTTTCCCATAATTGGGCAAAGTTGCCAGGAACATGATCTCGAGAATGCAGTTGACATTGTAGTGCTTGAAGAGATCTATCCTCGAATCCACATCTATCATCAAGTCTATCAGAGCCTTGGATGATTTGTATCGACAATTTTCACTGAAGCACTCGAAGTAGCTTTTCTCTGAGTTACTGGAGGGCACCTGATAAATTGAAAGTAGCCACAAAGAAGCTTAAAATTTGAGAATCAAGATGAACTTATTAGGGTATATCAGTAATCGTGCGTTGCAAAGCTGAACGTTATTGCGAGACTACATTATTACGGAAATATACTAGACAATCTACTTTGAATATTTAAAACTTCCCGAAGAGTATAAAACATTGTACCGGAAAATTGTTCACTCACTTGAATTTTGTTGAACGCGACGCCAACAACCTCGTTAGTAGCGATGTCGATAGCTACCACACTCACGCCGTCCTTAGCTGCATACAAACAGAGCTCTTCGAGTTCCTTGGATGCTCCCGGTTCGGAAATCAATTCCACAGCCTTGCATATGTTCTCGTAGAGAAAGAAGCTTTTTCTTAACACATTGAGAGCACCCTCTAGGGTTTCATCCGACAAGGACTCGAACTCTATCTGACCGTTCTCCGTTGAGCCCCAAGGCCGATAGTGGGACATATTTTTGCGCGTGTTGCTGAAAAATAAGTATAATTTTGTCATGATCATTTCGAGAAACTTATAAATTCAAAATAAAATAAAATAATATAAATAAGAAGTAAAACTTTAAATACTTCAAACAAATTAAAATAAAGGGCTAGTTTATGGGAATCAGGTTCGGTACAAGAAGGCGCAGATTAAAATTTAAATGAGTCATATTTTTACTCGTCATTAAGTCAATTATTTAAAATTGTACAACAGCCTCTCTTTGATTTAATATATTCTAAACGAAATTTCTAAACATTGTAAACTATCAAATATATACATTTACGATCTCGCCAAATGATGGGTCACGTTATTGCAACTCAATTTATGTAACTGTAGAACAATTAATTTCTCCAAGGCATAAAAGTTAAATTGTATTTTAATTTTTACAGATTTAAATTTATCTACCAGAAAATTCATAATAAAAAAATGTATTATGCCTTTAAAATACAATATTGCAAACGGAGGATTAATCACATTTTTTTTTAGAAAAATTAAGTTTTTTAATTATGAAACGTTATCTTTTACTCAATAGACTTTGTCGCATATTATTATTGTGAAATTGTTGAACGTAATTATAAATCTTGATCACATGTACGTACATACAAAAAATGAAGGAAAAAAATTATGTGTATATTTTTAAAGCAACTTATTGAAATATGAGGGCTTAAATGCGGCCAATTACGGACTATGTTTAAACGCAAAATTACGTTTAAATGCTGAAGTGCACGCTTGTTAAACTTCCCATGCATGATTTATAAACATGTGACCGTCTATGTAATCTGTAATTATATATATATATATATATATATAGTTACACATACTTAAACCCATCTCAAAAACAATTGCTTAAAATAAAAATATATACAGGGTGGGGCAATAACTCTGTCCACCTTGAATATCTCCGCTATTTTTAGAGATATGAAAATATCAGGGAAGGGAAAGTTACTTTTTAAAAGTAACTAGTTACAGTTACTCGTTACCGAGTAAAAAATGTAACTAGTTACAGTTACAGTTATCGCTTTTTAAAAGTAACTCGTTACAGTTACCGTTACTTGAAAAATAACTTTTCGTTACTTTTCCGTTACTTTTTTAAAATCAATTTAAAAATGTACTTTTGCATTTTTTT